CTGGTTTCTGTTGCCTCCCTGCTGACAGGACAGCAACTTAGAAAAGGATGATTGAATATAGTATCTACTGTGTCCACTATCTTGGATGCATTGTCCCAAGTCCTATTTACATCCATACCTCTGAGAGACAGTATTTTTATTTCCACTTTACAGAAGAGACTGGGGTCTAGAGCGGCTATGTAGCATACGCATATGCCCAGAGGCAGCTGTGTTATTCAGCATTACAGTGTATTAACGTGCTGTGCGCTCCACATACATCTGTTGATTTTCCCCCTTATGCCTTTGTTCCTATTGTTTCTTCCACTTGGGTTGCCTCCCCACTTTCTCTTTGTTAATTCATAACCACTAAGTCCATGGAGAATTGCTTTTTGGAAGCCTCCTCCAAGTTTTCTATGACTCAAAATGAATAAAATAATGTATACAGATTAATAACCGTAGCACCTGAAATATAAGTGCTCAAAAATGTGAGATACTATTCTTATGACCAACTTCATCCTACACTGTTCCCTTTAGTAATCTTTACTCTCTTCATAGTTAAATAATACTCATGATTCATTTAAAAAGTAAAAATTGCCCTTTGTCCTTTATGTGACATCTCTTGGGCCTTATAGAAAAAGAGGGACCCATTTCTAAATGGGGTTATCAACTAGGATCCTATCACTTTTCCTACCCTCGTTATCTCCACGTTTTAATAATGTAGGACTGTAAACACGACAATAAATTGTATGCTTTTATAGGGCCAGACTTACTGTCCTCCTGACCACTGAGTCCTCAGTGCTTAGCATATAGTACTTGCTTAATAAATACTTGTGGAATAAGTGAATGGCTTTTCTGCTGTATCCTTGGTGCTTCATTTTAGTGTTGTATACTTACTTCTTATTGATTCAGTTCATTCTGAATCAATATTTACCAAATACCTGCTTTGCAAAACATAAAAAGATTAATTGCACATAGTCTCTACCCTCAAGAGCTTGTTGTCTTATAGGGGAAATAAGACATGTATGTTACTAAAACAAGGTGTCCTAAGAGATAAAGCTTTAGGAGGAGTTCACAGAAGGTGAATAGTATTTCCTGGTAGGAGAACAGCTATTTCTGATGGATATATTATATTTTAAAATATGAATATGGTTAGATAAGAATGTAGGAATAGCACAAACAAAAGCACAGAAGTAAGAAAAATCTGGGTGTGGAATGGGGAGAAGAATATAATGGGTATGTGAAAGAGAGTAATAGAAGATGGGGTTGGAAAAATAAATTGAGGTCAAATGAGAGAATCTTGAATTTAAATCTCAGAAGGTCTGGATGTCATGCATTAGGCACTTGGAGCTGTTGAAGGCATTTTGAATATAATGAAGTTGTGTGATCAGGGCTCTATTTCATGTAGATTAGTGTAATAGCAAAGTCAAAAATGTCCTGACGTTGGAAACCCAATTAGGAAGTTACTGCTATGGTATCTCCTGAGAGGTATGAGGGCTCAAGTATACTTGGGAGGCAAGATATTTATTCCATTACTCGACAAGGCAGGCTGAATCTTTTAGAATATCTTTATAGAAGTAAGAATGTTCATTTTTTTCTTTTTTCAGAAGTTGTGCTTTTTTGAATACTAAGTGAAATGGAGCAGGCCTCATACAGAATGGAGAGGTTGATTACCCAGGGATTCCTATTAGTATAATTTCCATTTTATCTTTAATTGTGCATTGCCTTTCTGGAATTCTGAATAGCCTTGAAGATATGCTGATAATTGGGAGTAGGAGAAAGAAATTTAATTTGTCACATCAAGCAAACATGACTTTGCAGAAAGAAATATCTGTGAACTTAGGCTGGCAATGAAACTAATAAATCATGTTGTGGTTTTTTGAAGAGAGTGTTGGTTTTACGACATATGGGGATGACAAAGTTTAAACCAACGTAAGTTTTATTTTGAAAAAGAATTTTCAATTATGTCAGAGAGGTATAGTTGCTGGGTTTTTTTGTTATTAATTTTGCTTAGTAAAATCTTAAATTAAAAGGAAAACAGTTGTATATACTCTTTTGTCATGTTAAATGAGGAGAGAGGGTAGGGAACAACACTGTGGAATATTTATCTGATCAGAAGTGTTTTTCCAAACCATAATAACATCCTTAACTAATTTAATTTTTATTGCTAGCCTACTCTCAAGTAAAACATAAATTCCTACTGTCAACGTTTTCATTGTTTAGTTGGAGAAAACTATAGACAAATACTGGGTATGAAAAAAACAAAGTAGTACAAAAATAAAATAAAATTTATTATCACTTTATGTTGAAGATGTTGGAGGAACTCAGCAGAGAAAGTTTAAAACTTTCAGAGGGTTTGGAATAAACTCCTCAGTAGGGATTGAGTAGCATTTCTTATCAGTCCTTTTGTGGGGGAGAAGGGGGTAAAGTCTGTGTTAAATGTGCAATCATGAGCCATGCCTTTTCCTTTCATTCATCTGTAAAGCATAATTCACTGTGGAATGTACTGACCACAGTCTTCATGAGGAAAGGTCGTTCTCTTTGAGCAGGCTTGGCTGAGCTGGCAGCTTTGGACAGGTGGTTTGAAGATCAGCAACAGAGGAAGGGAACCCAGCCATCCAGATTAGCTGAATCATCTTGGGTGTCAGTGGGCCACCGTCCATCAGCCAGATGGTCTTCAAACCACCATGATGCAATTGTGCTTTGGAAATCATGCCTGCTGACCTGTTTTTCCCTTTCCATCTGACTGATTCCTGTTTTTTAAGCTTCTAGTCAGCAGGGTATTTTATATATATGAGCCATTCTGTTCTCAGAACAGAACCCACATTGTTTTTGTTCTGTGCTTCATTTAAGCATGAAAACTCTTTTATAAACGTTGGCTCTCCTAGGAAAGTAAATACTTTATTGCTAACCTCTTTTCAAGTCCAACTTCCTTTTTACCTGACTCTTCTCTCCATCTAGATTTTGACTTTAAACCCTCCTTATGGAGCTATCTCAGACTAAACAAGTAACTAAAAACAGAGGAAATGCTTTAGAAGGGTCTCAAGGTACAGTTAAAAAAGAGCATCAACTTTGAAATGAGACAGACCTAGGATGAATATAAAAATGAATCAGACCAAGGAGATGAATGAGGCTCAGATGTCAGTGTCAGGCATCTTTCCATCTCATCAGGGAGATCAGTTCTGTACATACTTAATTAGGGTACAAATGAGATGATGTATGTGACATAAGGAATTCAGGCAAACTGTTAGGTAAGCTTAGAGGAAGAAGAGACATGGCCAACTATAAATTATACACAGATTTTCGACTGTGGGGAGGATCTGTGCCCCTAATCCTCACATTAGGGTCAACTGTACTCAGATTTAGAAAGTAATTTGCAGAAAATCTCATAATGCTAATTCTAATGTCAAAGTTGAGATTTGAGTTCAGATCTGACCACTTCTAAAGCCCATGCTACTTACTTTCTTGGATTTTTTTCCTTTTAGATATTTCTCATGTCTCTCCTTTATTGTTTTTAACGTGCGGTAATACACACTAATTCTTCTATAATTGAACACTGTAGAAATAACTAATGCAAAAATTCCCTAATCCCTCGTCCTACTCTCCAGAAGTATATGCAACTTAAAAAGTTTGTTCTATGTGCTTGCACACATTTTCCCTGCATTTATATCTACATGATGTATGGGGCTTTTTTCTGAAAAGATTGTGCTAATTTACATTTTTCAATGGTGTGTAAAAATTCCTGTTTCCCTAC